CAGGCAGGCCCTGTGCCGCTGAGCTATATCCCAGCCCTTGAATTTAGAATTGTTGAACTATTAGCTATACAGTCAAGATAAAAGACTGCAGATAGTGCTAGGAATGTGGCATGCTTTTTAATTTTTTTATTTTAAAGATATAAGAATGAAAACATATTAACAAACAGACATAAACAAAACAATAGAAACAATACAGAATTTCAGACAAGGTGATAGGAAACTAGCAATGGTTATTTTGTTACATATTGCTATCTTCAAATTGGTTACTCAGTTAAACAAATATAGGCATATAAGATTGGTCAATTAAATATTATTCCTTTCCATAAAGCAATAGAAATTAGTAGTATAGCTTTTGTCTCAAAAGAAAAAGGATATTCTCCTATATAGTCACATTCCAAACCATACTCTAATAGTTTACATTAATATAATTCTACTAAAAACATAAGGCTCAACTTCCAACTTCCTTAGTTGTCCTTTTGGTTATCTTTTTTCAGATCCAACATCTGATCATGAATTGCATTCACTTGTCTTTAGTCTCCTAAAACAGTTTCTCATTTGCATTTTTCCCCTTGTACGATACAGAGATTTTTGAAACTACAAGCTTTCATGCAGGATCTTAGTTTTGAACAATATCTCAGAATTTCTCTGACTGAATCTTTATACTTACATTCATTTTGATAAGTTCTGTAGGAGTACCACACAATTGATATTGCATCCTCAGTGCATCATATTAGGGACACATGATGTCAGTTTGTCCAAAATTTAAAAATATAAAATTAACCCTAGCCTTAAAAGGTGAAAATTTATAGAACCTCTTGTACTTCTGTGCACAAAGCTCACTGGTTATTTCTATATAATTGATTGAAAATAAAACTCGCATGAAGTTTAGATAGCATGGCTAGTAAATAAGTGTTTTCTTTTGGAATAAGTAAGGTCAGTTGATTCGCCTTCATCTGTGGTGGTGGAGAAATTGAAAAGTCTGCAGTGCAGACATGGTGGGAATTAGCTAAGAGAAAGTAAATCTGAGATTTGGAGCACTGCAGCAGTTTTGGTTATCACTGTCCCTGAACAAGTTACTTGGATATTAGTCACCTTGTTTCAGCCTCAAAGGGATGGAAAAGTCATGCTTGATGCTCACTTAATCTCTCTCACAAAGGTACTGGTAGTCTGGACTAAGTAGAGGTATTCAAAAGGGTGCCAATTTTGTAATTTAAATGAGACACACACAGAGAGACAACACTCTAATATTACACAGACTATTTTCATAATTAGCTTACCAGCATTTCCTGGAAACTATAATTTTACTATATTGTACATTTTTTTTTTTTTTACTAAAAAGAAAACAGCAGATGAGGTGGGGACAAGCCTATCTTCAAGAGCAAATAAAACACTTATCTCTAAAATCTCCCCTGCAATTAAGAACCTATTATCTTAAATACAATCCTGTAATTAAAATGAAGTCCTTCTTTATTAAGAAAAATTAACTGGTCTTCGTATAAGGGTGGTTTATCAGATGAATGGATCAAAACCTATTAGAGTAGGTAGTCTCACAGTCCCAGGAGTCAAGGCTTTGGGAAAAATAGCATTGCTATTATTATACTGGTGTCAGTGTAGAAAACAGACATCATATACAATAAGTGAACAAGATTAACCATATTTTAGCCATCCTCTCCTGAGATTAGGTGTACACATCTATACAAATGCAAAGAACTCTTAGAGTTTTATTTCCTCATTGTGTCCACTCAAATTTGGTTATTGACAGACGATTCTGCACTCTATGCTCAGAGTTGTTTTCTAGTCTTATATCCCAAATGGTCTCAAAAGGGAATGATATCTTTCTGGTTGTATGTTGCTTCTAGACCTTGGCTATTTTATCATTGTGAAGCTTAGATCTAGCTGGAGCCTTGGAAAGTCCTTGCAGTGACTTGATATTTTTCCTTCTCTTTATTCAAAAGCTTAGGACCAAGATAACCTACCCACCCAACTATTATGATTAAAACTCTCAAAGGATATGTAGATTATTGTAGGGCCAGCTTCATGGGCAATGCCAATAAACTGACTAAGAACCATTGCTTTTCTCATCTTTCCTGAGTTATTTCATCCACTGTATTTTTAATAGGTTAAAAATAGTTCCAAGATGTCTATCCAGATGTTTACCAAATCAAAAGCTCCAATACTTTGCTCTCTGCAAAAGCTCAGACTTATATTCAATAGGCTCCTTTGCGTTGGTGCTGGGTGAGGAACAAATTTATTATCAGAAAATTCTAAGGAGATCTATATGGCAAATTCCTGGGCCTCTGTTGTGCTACTGGCATGTTACTTTAAAATAGCACCTCATTAATAGTGCAAAGGTATATATGTGCTGAATATTTTACAGATATTCACCATTCTTTGATAAACAGAGTAGTTGGTCACTTTCTTCATTCCTGGGATGGAATACCCAACATCCACAAATTGGGAAAGCAGAGGTTTGTTTTGGCTCACAGTTAAGGGAATGAATTTCAGTTCATAGTCCCTGACTCCAAGTCAGGGCAGCATGGCAGGGGGGCTTCACATCTAGGAAGTGAAGAGAGAGGAAGAACTTAGCCAGGGAGGGAGAAAAACCCTTTGAGGCCATGACCCCCATGACCTGACTTTTCTGACTAGAACCTCCTCTTAAGAGCAAGTCAGCTATGACCTGACTTTTCTGACTAGAACCTCCTCTTAAGAGCAAGTCAGCCATAATCCAATCACTTCCCCAAAACCTATCCTGTAAGCGTGTGAGGCTCTGGGGGAACATCTACATATAAATCATAACGAAGTATGTGAATTTAATGAGCCCTGTAGGCTGTGACTGTTGGGATGACATCCTAGGACTAATCCCTAAAGTGCCCCATCGGCTGAGGTAGTCTGGATTCTTTAATAACAGATGGTTAATAAAAGATCAACCAAACCCTATCTCTGGAATGGTTTTACCCTTGTCTCAGGTAAAGCTTTTTTATGGAAAGCATTTTTAGAGCACTGCAAAGAACAAAGGACTAAGACTTCATAATTCCTAACAAACAGGTCGCATGACAGTGTTATGCCTGTTTGCTAATTATGGAAGACATTCCACAGTCAGCCAGCACAGATTGTATTCACCACAGAAGACTAAATGATCTTCTACAGAGTCACCTTGTCAGTTTCCCATCGACATATGGTAGTCTGCTTTGTCACCCCCTTGACTCTGAAAAGTCCCTATGGCTATGGTGATAATATAGTGTGGCAGAAAATATTCGGTGCCAGTTCTGCACATAGCCCTTACCTGGCTTGACAGTTTCTACCAGCTGCCAATCTGTGGGAAGCCCAGGCCACATGGAGAAGAGATCCATAGGTGTCCTGGCCTTAGCTAAGCCCACAGACAGAGCTAGCATCAAATTCCAACCATGGGAGTAGCCGTCTTGGATGTTTAGTCCAGTCTGTCCCCAGGGCCCCAGCAGATGCGACTCCAGAGAAACCCCAGGAGAGAACCCAGCTGAGACCAGTCTTGCCTCAGAACCACAGGCAATAACAATAACACTGCTTTTTAATCCATTGAATCTAGAGTGAATCTTTGTTATGAAAATTGATAGCCAGGACAGTAATAAATGTCCCCCTGGAATAATTTGGTCTAAGACTTGTTTTGCTCATAAACTGCTGTTAATTGTAGGGAGGCTTTGCCCTTAATTGCTTACCTCTAAATATCATTGCCCACCTCTAAACATCATTGCCCCTTGGAATAAAATAAAAACTAAGTGCAGTAGAGTAGTTTTCCAGCACTAACACAGAATTTCAAAACACAGAATATGGACATTAGGACTGGGTGATGTGATTTGTGTAGCAGCAGAACTGTGGTTTCGCATGTTACTATAAGTTGCTGGGTACAGACATGGCCAAGAATGCAAGAGTCAGGAAACCCACATGTTCATAATTCTTTTGTCTCATGTATAGATTGTCCATATACATTGCTACAATATTCCATTTGCCACATATGCACTTCAGATAAGAGGGAAGCAATGAAGGACTATATCGGCCATTGCATCTTTATCATTATGTTGCTTGTTTGCTGTGTCAGAAGCAACTAAAAAAAGCAGTCTTGAATGAGTCCAATCCACCATTCTTACCCATCTTTAAACCTGGACCAGGTGGTCAATGCCATTATATTCACCTGAGCACTCCACAGGCACCTCAAATGTGTTGTGTCCAAACTGAGATCATATTTCCTTCTAAACCTACTGTTATCACTATCTTCTGTGTCTCAGTAGGTATTAATCCCATCCAACTGTTCACCAGATTTCTCCTTCTACCTCATTCACCACATGCAAACGATCCTTGAGGCTCTCTAATAAGACTTGCTGAATATTTTTAGTAATCTTTTCTCAATGCCATTTTAAGATTCTATTTTTATTCTATCAGCATCACCTAGATCTCCTGATATGTCTTCCCACCTCCATTCAGTTAGCAGTGAGTGCTGTTTATGCTGAAAATCTGAGCATGCCTTTCCTTGTCTCCAATCTGCTGTCCTGAAGCAGCACGGTGGCCTTCCTGCCATCCTCCTTGCCCACCACGGCTGTAGTGCGCATGTTCACAATCCCAGAATGTGTGCCCCACCCATCATGCACCACGCTCTTCCTTGCCTCAGTGCCTTTACTCACACCGTTCCCTGCTTAACGTATCTTCATTTTATGCCCTTCCCCGCTTTGTGTGTTCTCAGTTTGACTAGTTTCTACTCATTCTTCAGAATATTACAGCTTTTAAAAGTCCTGATGTCGAGGCCACACCCAAGACCAAATGCCAACAGAATGGATGCGAGTGGCTTCCAGGACTCGCTGTTTTAAAGTTCCCCGAGTGACTTCCATGCAGAATCCTGCTTTAGAGTCAGATCACTCTTCGTCTCTCCAAGGATGCCTCGCCTGATCTGACACTCCTCTTCTCCCCAGATTGAAATGCTCTTTTATGATCTCATAATGTTCTGGAACATCTCTATTACTGCACATTCCACAGTGCATTCTAATGAGCTGTTTACAAGTCTGTCTCCCCAGAGGACAGGAGCTCCTTTAGGGTAGGAACTGCAATTTCATTGTGGCTTATACTATCAATATGTAGCTTAGGGGTGGCTAGGTACTAGCTGTTCAACTACCCTTTCTGAAAGAAAGAATGAATGAGAGAACAACTAAGCTTATGCTAGATATTGAATATTTTCACAATATTCAAACAAAACTAATGCAAGTGTCATTCTGTTTCATTCTAGCACTATTTTTCAGAAAACCCAAAGCATATAGGCAAACAATACAGGACTTGGGTAAATAATGTTTGTTTTATGATTTTGAAATGAAGATACTAACATACTTGTGGTAACTTTGTGAGCAGCATCTTTTTCAGTTGGTAAGACAGACCCAAAAACATGACAGATATACTCAGTAACCCTGGGGGAGGGAAATGCTTTTTTTTCCCCTATTTGGGGTATGTTGACAAGAAAAGTCAATGAGTTGTACTGGATGGAGAATTAATGTATACTTTTGAGATCTTAAAGTACTGTAAGGAGGACAATAATAATTTAGAGTAGAATACTGAGTACAATGAGAATGTTTAACAAATATATAATTATGGAAAACCACACAGAGGCTCAGGAAAAGTTAGTCATTCTACCAAGGGTAGAAGAGCTAGGATTTAAACCATATTTTTCTGGTTCTGACACATTCTGCCTCCCTACTAGGTGAAACTAAACACATGCATTGGTGGTAAAAGGCCATGGGAGTAAATAAAATATAAACTTTTACTTCTCACTGTGGTAAAAAAGCAGACACCATGGGGAAAATAATATATGATAATAAGTCTAACATAGGGAGGAGAATTTTTCTTACTGTTTCGAGTTTAGTAACTCTACTGTATTTTTCTTGGAGAGGTTTATTTTGAAACATATTTGGATTTACAAAGGAATTGTATGGGAGACCAGAGTTCGCCACCACCAAATATGGAGGGTTGTTGAGCTGAAAGCAAAAAGAAATTCTTTGTTGAAGATGCTCTATTAGGTGGAATTTGAAGCCAGTTCTTTGAGAATTACTCATTCTCTGGCTGTCTCCCTTGTATATATGACACAGACATGTTAATAAACTTCTGGATTTTTCCTTTTTATCTACTTTTTTAACAGTGGGCTATTTCAGCTATACAGGGGGATTATTATTTTCCCCCCAAACTTGCAAAAATATGCAGAGTATTCCCATATATCCTTCACTCAGTTGCCCCTCATTTACAAGTTTTTCCATATTACGTATTCTTGGCACAATTATCAAAACTGGGATATTAACATAGACAACAGCACTATTTGGTAAACTACAGGTTTAGTTTAGATCTCCCCACTTTTCCCACTGTTGTCCTTTTTGTTTTTCAGCCTTCAAGGTGTAGACTTTACTTAGGAATAGATGGAAGAGGAGGATATTCCAAGAAAGGGGAAGAAGTACCTGAACAATTAAAATGAGCACAGTCCAGATGGAAGATGGAAGATGATACTCCATTAGTCTAAATTACTGTTCTAGTAAGTGGAGAATTCCCCAAGCTGTTTGCTTTGCTGCCAGTCAGTCCTGTCAGGTGAAACAGAGAATGATAAACAAAGTAGGAAATAACTCATCTTGTGTGCTTGTTGCTCTGTTGTATTTTCCTACAGCACCAACAGTAAGAGAAAATTAGGCTGTGAGTGTCTCAGTGCAGGTGCATTCTCAATGACTTTCCTGCCTTGGTCTGAGAGTTCTGGCTTCATGGCAGAAATCCACAAATCAGAAGAAAACATGCTAATCTATGTTGTGTTTCTCCAAATGACTTTTTCATTTTGTGAACTATTTAAAAAATCCTATTACTATAGAGAGCTAAGTTAGGTGGAAATATTATAGGCTGTCAGACAGGGCTGGGCCCTCTGGGGAGTCACTACAGGGGATGAGAACACATCAGAACTGTGTCTAGAGGCACATCTGAAGAAGATTAAAATCACAATAGCCAGATTTACACACTTCCCTAAGGGATAAATGGAAGCTTGAGATTATTGGTACCACCCCTTTGAGATTTCCTCTATAAATAAACCATTAGCTCATAGGGGTGGGTGGACCATCCTCCCCTACCATCTAAGACTAAAACGAAAGACAAGACTAAAACTATAGGTTATTGATCAAGATTGATGATGTCATCCATGTACACTTGCTCTGTGACTTGCTTCCTATAGGATCACTATTACTTAAGTGGCTATACTTGTAATCTTATTGGTTGATCATAATTTTGTCCCATTTTGTACCCACCTCATGATTTTGCTCTATAAAACTTCCTTTGAGAAGTAGGCTTGTTGGCAACCCATTCGGGGCCCTTCTTTCTTCTCAGGAGCTATTCCTATGTTCCATTCCTTTTCCCCAAGAAGTTTTCCTCCTCTTAACCTCTATTTCTCCTTAGACTTAATTCTTTGAATTAGGAGAACACCAACAGTGTATCAGACATCATACAGGTTGGAAGTTATATTTATTTCCCCTCTATCATTGGAGATCCTGTATCACTATGATAACCTGCCCTACAAAAGAGGATCAAAAGGCATTCAGTTCATCATGGGCCTCTTTTTGTCAAAGGCTTTCAACACAACCTGTTAAAAATACCAAATGCTCATAAAGCTCACAAAGTAATAATACAATAGTCAGGATTTCATTAAAAAACTATGTCACAGACACTCCCATGAGTCCTTGGGGAAATATAAATGACAAAAATTGTTGGACTTGACCACATGCTATGTTAAGAACCAAGCGAGTTCTTTCAGAGAGGAATAGTGAATATATCTACAAGTTAATCTTTTTTGCTTTTGTGGATTTTGTGTAATTTGGCCATGTTTGCCTACTTTGCCATTTTTCCCTGTTGATGGATCATCTCTCTATGTTTTTAAAAGTGAATCAGGAAAATTCATGATTGATGTTTTTTGTCCGTTTATTTGTTTTTGAGACAAGATCTCATTAAGTAGTGCAGACTGGTCTTGAGCTCCCTTATGTAGCCCAGGCTGGCTTTGAACTCACAGCAATCCTCCTGCCTCAGCCTCCTGAGTTCTAGGATTACAGGCCTGTGCCACCATGCCTGGTTGTTGATAGGATTTTTTTAAAAAAGAATTTTTTCTTTTTTTGTGGTAAGAGCATTTAAGATGTATTCTCTTAGCAAATTTCAAATACAAAATGCAGTATTACTAACTATAGTTACCATCTATGCATTTGATTTAGATCCTCAGAACTTACTCATCTTACATATAAAAGTTTGTACCCTTTTGACCAACCCTCTCCATATCCCCACCCACTCTCCTCTGGCAGCTACCACTTTACTGTCTATTTCTGTGAAGTTGATATTTCTAGGTCCCATATATAAGTGAAATCATACAGTATTTGTTTATTTATATATATATGGTTAGCTTCCACTCTGGCTTTAAAATAAAAAGTATGGGCATGTTCTGCTTGTAACCCGATGGAGAGGGGCAGAGGTGGAGTTCTGTGTGCCTGTGTTGTGGACAAAGATGTAAAGGTCACTAGTGTCACTATTTCCTGTTGTTGATGGAACTGCAAACTAGCACATTTTTAGTGACATTACTCATAACCACACTGTGGCTGTTTAAATTGGTAGGGATGATAATGAGAGTAATTTGCAGGTAATTAAGCTTCTCCTTTCCACCTGACAGTTATGCAAACTAGAAGGAGATGAACAGCATAGTCATGTGTTGCTTCAATTAAGCAACATTCCATGAGGACGTTGAATAACATGGGGAGGCGATTAAAATGTTAGAGGAAAAAGATGAACTCTGTTATGCTTTAAAAATAGTTTCATTGAGATATAATTTACCTGCCATGAAATGCACTCATTTTAAGTAAACAATTCAGTAAAATTTTAGTGTACCATAATATTTACATGGTTCTACAGTTACTCTCACAATATAATTGTAGGACATTTCCATCATTCTAAAAATTGGTGCCCATTTACAATTACTCTGGGTCCCACCTCTACTCTTAGGCAACCAGTGATGTGCTTTGTGTCTCTTTCTAGGACATTTTGATGAACAGAATCAAATATACTGAACATAATGTCTTCAAATATTAAAAATTGACACATAAGAACCGTGAATATTATTGTATACTGTGATTTTTCAATATATGTATACATGGGTAATATTCAAATCAGGGTGAACATATTTATCTCCTTAAAATTTTCTGAGCATGTTTTTGAGGTTCACCCATGCTATAGCACGTATCAGTAGTTCATTCTTTGTCACTGCTGAATAATTAATTACCCATTCTATAATTATGTCATATTTTTGTTTACTGAATGGTTGATGAACATTTGAGTTATTTCTGGTTTTTAACTGTTCTTGATAATGCCGCTAAGATTCTTTATGTATATGCTTTTGTGTGGATATGGTTTTATTTTCCCTGGGCAGACCCTTAAGAGTGGAATTGCTGGGTCACATGGCACTTCTATGTTTACTTTTTTAAAGGAACTGACAAGCTCTTTCCAAAGTGGTGCAGCAGTTTACATTCTCACCAGCAGCAGGTGAGGTTCCATTTTCCCTGCATCTGTGCAACACTTGTCATTGTTTCCTTTTTTTATTATTATACCCACTTTCATGGATGGAAATGGTATTTATTGTGGCTTTGATTTACAATTCCCCAATAAGTAATGATACTGAGCAGCTCTTGTTGTGGACGATTGGCTTATTGGTTCACGATCTATGGTTAAATATCTATTCAAATCCTTTGCCCATTTTAAAACTGGGTTATTTGCTTATTCCTTTTCCTTGTCATCTCCTGGAGGAAAGCACTGTTTCAAACTCTATTGTCATTATTCCCTTGCATTAAAATTTTTTTCACCATGTATTCTAAAACAATGCATTATTGTTTTGCTTCCTTTGAGCTTTATAAAAAGTAGATTTACACTGTATGTAGCCTTCAACAATAGAATTCTAAATGTTCCTCTACATTCAGTTTTCATGTTGGGAAAACCAATTGTTTTCCACAATGGTACTTTAAGCAGAAAGTTACCTTTAAGGAAAAAAAATGAATACAAGTTAGAAACCATTAGCTGCTGGTTTTGTCTGGAAGATTTAATGGACTTATTGTAAGTGGACTAGAAGGGGGACAAGAAGGTGCCCTTTGTATTTATGAACATCAGCTGTTGCACAAGTCGATATGAGGATGTAGAGCTATTTAATTCTAAATAGTCCTAGGCTGCTAGGGTTTTATTTATTTATTTATTTATTTTAGTTTGTAAGACTCATTTCTGTTTTTTCGTGTCTCTGAGTCTGTTAATTACATCTCTAATCTTTTCACTAATTAAAAAAATGCTGTTTCCTATTTGACATAGATTTAGAAAACAGATAATCTGGAATTGTGATTAGGACTGGATTGAATAGGCTCTGATTAAGAGCAGAAGGGATTCCCGTGGGGATGAGTTAACGAGTTTTGGCAGACGGATTTTATGACATTTATTTTAGTTGTGAGGCCTCCTCTTGTCTCCTTCCTTGTTCTCCGCTTTTTCTGAGCAGAAATGTACCAATGTGGTCTTAAAAACAGACTGGTTCTGTATCCTTGCTCTGTGCTTTTATTGGTTAACAATAAACTACTCAATTTTTCATTCTCTGAATGGGGTAGGAGTGTATTTATTACAGCATGACGTAAAATAAAATGAAATCTCTACAGCACTAACAAAGTACAGATATTATTTTTAGTACTATATAAACAGGATTGTCAGTGTCAAGTTACGTTGTTCTTTGGTGACATAAGAGAGTAGGAAGAATAACAACTGCTCAGACAATAAAGCTTATACTTCATAGATATGCGATGTTTGTTAGGGCAAGAGAGAAAAGAATCAAGGATATGTATTGGATTGGTGGGAGAATGGTAGGGAGGAAGTATTCTGGGAAAGCTAGATAAGAAAGCCTTAATTAACATTCTTGGTCAAGACAAACTGATATCAGTCTCTGTACCCCCACGAAAGTCCTGGAAGGGGGTTGAAGGATAATTCAGCTCAGGGTTATCTGACCTGATCTCCACCAAGACCTTTATTTCATTACTTTTTCCTTTGTAGATTCCATTTAAAAATCCAGTTTATCACAACACCTGATTTATCAATGAATTAATTTTTTTTTTTTTTTTTGGTTTTTTCTCCGGTACCGGGAACCGAACTCACGACCTTGCGCTTGCCAGGCAGGCGCTTTTGCCGCTGAGCTA